CCCGAGCAAATAAATAAATTTATATAACGTTGATTAAAAAAATCGACAACCACGAGCCGGTAGCCTGGAAGTGCGCCGCCGTTTCTACGAAAATTACACAATTTTACAGGTATTCCCACTTGACGGGTTTGAGGTAAGGTGGGTATGCTAATTGTGGTCTTATTTTGGATGCCAAATTCTTTAAAAATTGTATTGGCATTGCCTTCAAATGACATGTGAATTTCTGTTTGTACAATTTGTTTGGAAACTTTCACAATGGACGAACGCTAATTGTTTTCGAGTTGAAGAATGTTGATTTTGGGGATTTTGATAACTATTTTTACGCTCTAATATGTTGAAAAGAGCAAGAACTTGATATACACTGTATTATTTAAATCTAGTAGAGTCTTAAAAAATACAGTTTTATAAATTTTCTAAAAAAGTGTGCATAACGAAAGGTGGTTGGAAAAATATTACGTATTTGAGAAAGTAGGAGTCGCAATCTAGAAGTTAGAATGGCTAATTATGTAAGAGTGGTGAAACAGAAAAAGTGCAGAATCAATAAAAAAAAATTAAAACTAACGCATCAAGATGAACAATGTAAATCTAGCTTAAAGTCAAACAAAAAACAAACTGATAATTTGAACCTTTCTTTTAATTATTAGTAGCCCTAAATCTAAAAACAATTTGGAGAAATGAGAGTCGACTTTCAGAAAGTAAATTAAATTTTAATTAAAAAATCTTCGTAAACGTTTCTTTGGTAAAAATTAAATCCAAAAAACACACTGCGAATTTTCTAGTTATTCTCGGCTCAAAACTCATCAACTTCATTATGACTTGTTTTTTTTTAACAGTAGGTAAGTAATATTAAAGTCAACTCCAATTGCAAAAGACGAACGAAGATTTTGTGTTTTTTATGAAAATTTAAAAATTCTTGCTACACATCTTTTTGTTTCTTTGTGAAAATTTAAAAAAATTTGATACACATCTTGTTTTGTGTTTTTCACTCAATAAAAAAAATCTCATTTAAATATAGAAAAAATACTCCTAACACGTTAAGACAAAATAATATATGAATTTTCGTTGAATAAATAGTAATTTACAAAACTGCATAAAAAAATACCTGGTTGCTTGTTAATTTGCATAATACAGTGAAAAGTTTTTCATAAATAGACAAAAAGATACGTTTAAAAACAGCTTCCTTTATTATAAAAGACAATTGTATAAATGCAGAGCTAAAAAATGCATTTACACAATTTGTAAAAAGTCGCAAATATTTTAATATTTTTATTAAAATATTCCTATGATTTGGTCTAGTTAGTATAATTTTTAAGATTTAATTTAACGTATCAACAAGGTACATTTTCGGAATTACCAAATAAAACTTCACGAATATGAAGATAATAACCTTATGAGTGTAAAAAATAACTTTAGTGCTGAGTTGTACATTAGGGTTTTTTCTCTATGATAATTCTTTAAATTACGTAAATTTTGACACACCATGCAACCAATGTTACAGAACATTTTACAAACTACCTTGTCATTTTTACGAACTGTTTTGTCAACTTGACATATGAGTCCGGAAAAGTACTACTTTATGGATTATTTTGTTCACTTGACAGAGAATTTCAAATTTTTTTGGATACATTTAAATATAAATTAATAATTCCTCGTTTACCTAAGTAGAAACAAGTAATAACTTATGTAATTACTATTATTTTTTTAATAATAATAATAATATCAAACAATATTTCTAGTAAAAACTGGTCAAATTTATACACAAAAGCCGGTCAAAACCCGAAATTTACAATTGGCATTTGATATTTCCAGAGCTTTTCAAAATTCGAAAGCTCCATTGACTTAGAATATTATAGTAGTTCCATTTTCAACAAATATTTAGTTGAGTAATTTGTATAAAATAAAAAAATGAGGTGAGTCCTGTTTATGTTTGTTAATTTATTGTTACAGCGTGAACAAATCGCTGTGTGTCCAGTACCAGCTCCGGTGTGTGATATCATTAATTCCATAACATCCTTTCACAAGAAATTTTTTTGTAAGTCGCCAGAGTTCTTCGACATTTTATGGTTGAAAGGTAATAAAGAGAGTTCAATCACCTCTCCCAAAAATAGTAGTGGGATCGAACGAAAAAAGTCGATTTAGTGTTGTCAGTGGGTTAGTGGACCACGATCTTGTCTATTCCACATTTCCATACCTATTCCTATCTACAGTGGTCGGTTTCCTCTCTACTATCATTAATAAATCCACCACTGAAGCGACATACTTTTCATAGTCCCTTGGTGCATGCCATGACTCGGGGTGCTCGAGAGATCGTCCGAGATAGATAATGCTGAATACAGGTGGTCGATGTCTTGCTTTTCCTTGAAAATTTATGGAGCAGATTTGCAAAGTTAATGATGCCGCGAGTTGGAGTTTTATCTCTTCTTCGTGCCTGTCTATGCGTTTCACATGTCAATTTGTTCCTGTTCGACGCTGAAAAACGGCTGCCTTTCAGCCACAATCGGTTCCACCACCACAAAAATACTCTAAACGAGCCTTTCCACAACAAGACATGACGTCAACGTCCAACTGTTTTACATTTTCGAAACTTGTTCCTGCCTTCAACATACACAAAAAATCTAATCGAGAAAGATCTACAAAGAAGACTAAGAAAACTCGATATTATAGTCTTCAACATAGCCTTCCAGTCGCTAGTTGTTTTGACCATGGACCCTTTTCCACCTCATGCAAAGTGAGAGGTCCATCAAAAAAGAACTTTGGTCAAGAAAGGAACTCCACGCTGTTTCAATAGGCCTCAAATCCGGAGAAGCGCTGGCTGTTCCAATTTGTTTACTTATGCTAATTCAATTCAGCTAATTAAAATTGATTAAATATGCAATTAGAATGCATAAATTTAGTGAAAGCTCGGGGGATACCCAGTAGGCAACTAGCATAGCATCGTACGTCCTTGCAGTTCAACGAACTCGCCGCCTACTAGACCAATCAGATAATGAGAAAAAATGTCAAGGAAATTATAAAAATTTCGAATCCCCACTAGGAGGAACAACCTTCCAATTTTGAAAATGATCGTATTTAGTTTCAATAACAATAATTAACACAACAGAGAGGTCGTCGAACTCTCGATGTGTTTCTTACGCTGGATTCTAGGTTGTATTACGAAGGGATGTAAGGGCAAAATTTCTTTGTACGGCCACTGACACGCATTTTGGCAACTTTCAAAACGTTTGTTTTGGTTGGAAGAAGGAGAGCTCTGTGACCCACAAAACAACGTAGACTAGAATCGGACCAACTATACAAAAATTGGCGAAATTTCGTAAAAAATGTTCAAGTAAATTGTCGTGGTTTTAAGAATACTTTTTAAAACTTTAATTCAAAATGTGGCATCTCTGAATCTTTTTGTTATCGTTCCTTTATACCCACATTTTATAAAGCGTGTAACTCCATTTAAAGAAGGGAAAATTTTCCTGCAATTCTGTTCTTTAATTAAAGAAAACTATTCTCAAGGCTAGAATATAATTTGAGTGATATGAAAATAGTGGTTTTAGCCTTTCGGACTGCAACACTCATCCATAAACGTACAAAAAAATCGTCAGTAAGATTGTCAAAATATTTAATTTTTTCCATCCAAAAAAATAAAAAATGTTGGAAGGAGAAAATTTTCTGTTTATTGATAATATAATAATTGGCGTAAAAGTTTAAAAAAAAATAGTGCATTGACAAAAGTTATAAAACCAAAAGTATAAATAAACAAAACCATTACAGGATTTTAAAACCATCTTTCAAATGTTATTGGAACCGCCGATTTTTACGATTTTTTAGAGTCAACATTTTTTTAACTAGACCCATGAATGTTTTGTGGCTGGGTACTAGGACTCTTCAAAGAGCAAAAAACGTCACTGAGAGCAATTTTGAAAATTTCCCTATTACGTAATTGTTAAAAGCCTTTAATTAACGTTTACACGTGTTTCACCCGTTGGCATCATCAGGACTATAATAAATTATCGTTTTGACATTAATAAAAGCTTTAATAATTGTGAGATTTCGTTTGATTGCAATATATTTCTTTATTTTTTACTAAAAACATTATAATTAATTTTTTCGAAGACTAAATTTCGGATTATTCTACTTAAAATTAACGACCGCAAAAACTGGATATGTTGTCGGAATGAATATTTACAATTAACAATATTTCTAATTAAGCCCTTCTTAACTTGTGGTTAGCAGGATCCCTCTTGATTTCCCTCAATAATAAACAAAAAAAATTATTGATTGATGATCCATTTTTGTGAAAGATTGACATATACTTGTAGATAAGATCATCTCTCTCTCAAACTGTTTGTTTAATGTTTAATTTTAACACGGCGAATTATAAAATTATGTAAGTAAATTTGAATTTTTACTCTTCAACAAGTATAAAGTTTTCTTGTAGTACCTGAAAATGGCCATTACAAAAATTGGTCGAAACATGTTGCAACTAAATAAACAATTTGAGAGAAAAAGTCCAATAACATTTTTCCCTTATCTAAACAAAAAAAATCTACTAAATTTTAAACGCATAAAGTAATAATGTATTTTTTGAAATTCTAACAATTTTCCAAGAAGAGTTTGAAAACTTGTACGAGTCCACAAGAAAATGACTTGTTATTAGGAATTCATCAGTACATCCACTATTTTTTTTGGTAGGTATACTTATTTCTAATACAAGAGTGTTTTAATTACTATATAAGTAATAGATAAATAATAATCAAAGGAAAAACATTCTCTTCACAGAAATTAAACAAGTGTTCATGCGAGTATACCCTCGTTACTCATTACAGACAACAATTTATTTCTTTCATTTCCAAAAAAATTACATCAGTGCCGGTTGCCCAACAAAACCACAAGATAAACATAACCTCAAAATTAAACATGTTTTTAACGCGATTATTGCAAAATAATTGTTTTTCATACAGCCTATAATCATTTCGGCAATGAATTAAAACCATAATAATAATAACGCTTACCTTTACTTTACAAACAAACACATAAAAAAACTAAACCAATAAAAATTTTGTTTTAGAATGCACTTTTTTTTGCTTGGTTCTTTTAGTTCGGTTGTTAAACAAGAGGCGCCAGCTTCCAAGGTGACTACTAGCTTAAGATCGCTTTGGTAAGACACCTGCGTTACAGGTTGGGATCCTCGATATGGCCTCAAGGTGTTCAGCGATGTGCACGTAATTTCGAAGAAATTTGCCTTCCTGTTTAAGCAGAATCTTCAGTTAAAATTTAAAAGTTGAGAAGCTTAACTTTTTTAAAAATAAAGGTAATTAATGGTGTAAGTGTTTGTTGTGAGGTATTTTTGTATCTTAATTAGTAATTGTATATAATTTAAGAAACAATAAAAACCAAATAAAACATAATTCATTTGTTAGTCTCTTAATTATTTTGAACAATTCTTGATTTAAGATTTAATTCAACAAATTATATGTTTTTGACCATACACAAAACAAATATGTAAAAAGTGACAGAATGGCAAAAGAAAAGTGAAAATTTTACTTATAAAGAAAAAGAATTTTTTATCCAAAATTGTTAAAACATAAATAATAAAGGAAAAAAAAAAACAAAAAAGCGAATGTTGTCATAAGTGCAAGAACAAAATAACATAAAATATGAAAATAAAAACCACAAAATCACGGGCTAAAACAACTTTAAAAAAAATTGTTATTCAGAAGATGACAGGGATGAAGTGTACAGAACCTACAAACATTTCTGAGCCCTCTGTAGTTCTCCCTCATTGCAAGCATGAATTTTTAATTCATCAACCCCATGCTCCTTTATTTACTGTGCATTCTCTATTTAGTTTAAAATTTTTGTTTCATCGTAACATTTTAAAAATGTGATGGAACTGCAGAACATTTATCAAATAATAAGTTATTTTGACTTATTTATCAAAATCAGTAATTGTATACAAGTGAACTACACAAGTGTTTTATGAGTTGCCTATGAGACAAGCACATTTCACACACGCCACACCGTTTCACAAGCCTGCACCCGTATAATGCAACCAGTAATACATAATTTCAAACAAATTCATTTGAAACATTGAAAAATTACATGATCTTCTGTAATTTGTACTCTCAAATAAAAGACAATAATTAATATCATAATGTCAATATTCTTTGTTAAATAGTGATTAAGACAGATAAACTAGAATCATATTCATGCCGTTTCTTGATAGAACAAACAATAATTGTTTCTGAAAAACTGCAGTTCATCACTATTAACGAAACAGTGATTAGTTACTGTCATGGGTATAAAAAATATAAATAATTAAATGTCTATTTTTTGTACCTAGTGTTTTGTGAATTTTGTATATTTGAATACGTACATTAGGTGCAAGCCTCGTAAAGTAGTGTGAAACGAACTATATAATTGCTTTTTTAAACCCGTTAATAAGTACCTAAGGTATGGTAAAGTTTTCTAAAATACCTCACATTAAAATGGTAAAAGTAAAAACGCTTAAGCGAAAACACAAAGTTTTTGCTCCGTGCCTGAAAGGTAAAACTTTAACTTGTGTCATAAAAAAGTCACTTTTATGACATTGGCGGATAAAATTATTAGTACTTAATTTAACGATTAGGGTTTCCTTTCTATAGAATATCAGTTACCTCCAACACAGTAGGCTAATTTTATGATTGCAGTATTATCATAGAAAAAGAGCTTTACTTTAGTAAATCATATTTTTTACGATAAAATAAGTAATAACCACAAAAATGTTTCCAAAACAAAACAAAAAGTTGACGATAACCGTTCCATTAAAACGCTTTGAAAACACTTAATATTAACAAAAAAAAATAGATAATTTAAATTCTTACAAAAAGTTTTATGTTTAGTGGTTGAAAGGTTGAGAGCCATAAAAAATTTTGCAAAAAATTGATTTTTCTAACCTTTCTAGGGCTTAAACTATTATCTTTTAGACTATTAAATAATAATGTTACTATAGACACATATCCATAGACACATAATTTAGTCCATATTACACTCCGTGAAAAATAAAATTATATTCCACAAGTGAATGTAAATAAGTTATACAGAGTGGTTATAAATGATTTTCATCTAGCCAGCTGTGAATTTTCCATGTAAAATAAAAAATACCGCTTTACGAAAATAGGGGTACCTACTTGTTGTAACTCAAAATTAAAAAATCGCCGTTTACTAAGCGTCCACTTCGAAAATAGACTTCAATTATAAACTTGTTTTATTCCAAAGTATACATTATTATCAATTATTATTGGAAATTAGTTGAAACAATAAAAATTTAAGTAACAACAATTTATTATTAATTAATAAGTGACACTAATGACAGAACTAGAGCTTTCAAAAATGTAGAGCGGCACAAATAAAGTTACATGCAAAAAAATTCCAAAGCTGGCTAGATGAAAATCATTTATAACCACTCTGTATTACACGACATTTTCCTGTATGGCATACTGTTTGAACGCAATTTGACATTTTTTTAATTAAATTAGGACGGCAACTTTGTGAATACCGAAAACCGAAAATATTTCACAGTCGCAGGTAAAGCAAAGTATTCTACTTGTATACAGGGTGCGCCAGAACTCGCACCCCAGAGAAAATTGCCATATAAGGTAAGATACCAGGAACATGGAAAAAATGTTAAAAAAAAATTATCTATAAAAATTTCGAAGTTATGAGGGTTTAAAGTTTGTACTTTGACTCTATTTATTTCTATTGGAAAAATAATTTTCAAAGTTTTTTTGCTATAGGCTATTAAGAGAGGAAACAAGGAAGCTGTATCCTAAATTGTAACTCTGTTCAATGTTATTTGTGGCTTTTATTGGCAAAATTTTTGTCCCTTTACTAAATAATTGTAAAAAAACATATACAAGATCATCAGTATCATTAAATAGATATAAAAAAATGTCAAATGTCAAAAAATAAATGTTAAAATTTTTTGACATAGAATTTTTTAAACATTTTTTTCATGTACCTGGTATCTTACCTTACTTGAGAATTTTCTCTGGGGCGCGAGTTCTGGCGCATCCTGTATAGTAAGTATTACTCATGCACTCAGGTAGTTAACAAACTCGTCTACGCCTCGTTTTTGAAACTTCACTTTCGTGAATAATAGTCATTATATGCTTGTTGAATAATATACTAATAAAATGATAATATGTAATGTTCTTCACTGAGTTTTTTGTAAAACTCAAATAACTCAATTCTGTATAATTTTTGCTTTTACACTTGTTTTTACATTAACCATTTAAAATAATGTAAATAGAAATGTTGCAATGTGCAAGCTTTAAATTATTAAAATTTGTGTTTTCTGTAAATCCTAATAAATTTGTACTGCGTAAAAATTAAATTTGCTTTACTTGTTTTTAGTTTTAACACTTTATTTAATTGAATTAAAGATAAAAATTCAAAAATAGCTTATTTAAATGAGTTGGTGGTAACCAGGACATTAGCTCACCCTCGGCAATCCTGCGCATTATCCTTCCACGCTCAGGAAGAATCAATATTAGGGGATTTTCAGCATACCGCTGTAGTGTGTAGAGTAGAAACGCATGCGTTTGTATTTTATTGCGATAACAAAAATAATATCAACTCAACCATGTGTCGTGTGCTGTTTCTAATAAAATGTTTACTCAAACATAAATAAATCCGCCGCAAAGAAACGTCCAAAATGCCACAAAATTGAATAAACTAATCAGGATCCAAGCTTGGTAAATGATGCTAATTTTGTAATAATTTCACAAAGAAATTTCACAGGGATTGTAGAAGAAATTTAATATGTGGAGTGCCGTAGTCCCTGCCGATGTTGAAAGCCCAGCTCCTTCGGCACGCTCCAAACACAGTGCTACCATAATTGGGGAAAATATTTACCTCCTAGGGGGACGTAATGGCAACTTACCCATGAAAGATTTCTGGAAATATAATCTAAGTTAGTTGATTTCTCCTCCTTGACACCCGAAACACTTATATTTTTTAGTATCCGGTAAATGGCAATTATTGAAACCCACCGGTGACAGACTTCCAGCACTGCAAGAACACTCAACAGTTGCGTACAAAAATTGTCTCTACGTTTTCGGAGGCGAAGTGGGCTTTTCGGCCGGTACCGAAACCCCCCTGTGGTGCTACGACATCAAAACCAACAACTGGAAGAAAATCCGGACCAAAAAAGGCGTCGTGACGCCAAAGGGTCGCCGAGGGCACACGGCGCTGGTCCATCGTGACCAAATGCTCCTGTATGGGGGCTATCAGGACTTACGAGGGTCTTGTAGCGAATTGTGGGCTTTCCATTTTGGTAAAAATTTGATCACAATTTTCTCGTTTTAATTTTTTTGTCTAGAAACTGGGTCTTGGCACTTGTTATCGACCACACCGAAGAATGCCAATATCGAGGCGCTTCCACCCCCGCGTCATAAACACTCCGCTGTTATTCATGATGATTCCATGTGGGTGTATGGCGGAATGACTGATTTGCAGGAACGAGGAGATTTGTGGAAGTGGAATACGCAGTCCAAATCTTGGAGTTTTATTAAAACTAAGATCAATCCGGGGTCTTTGCACAGTCATGCCGTTTGTAAGCTGCCGTCGTCGATGCTGCTTTTTGGAGGGGAAAGGGGTGGACACCCCACGAATGAACTGTGGAAATTCAGTTTTGGTAAGCTTGAGTTCAAGGAATTTTTAATCATTATACAAATACCAACGTCTCATTGAAACGAATAGGCTGTAGCAATGGTTCATCTTTTTTTAAGTCAAATTTTACTGTGACTAATTTTCATTTTTATTAACAAAATTATTAATTTTAGAAAGAATCTAAAGCAAATCTAATTTTTAATAAAATTGCTTAATTTATGTTACAGATAAATAAGACTGAATAAATGGCTACTTTTGTATATGAGTGAAGAATGAAATATAAATAAATATATACTAGGTGAATAAAAAGTATGGAACCAAACGTTTTTTGATTAAACTATTTATTTCTTGAAAAAACTAATTGATGAGTGATAAAGTACTATAAAAATGTGATGATTTAACAAGAATAAAATTTTTCGAAATTTCCTTTTGTTTTTGAGTTCTACAAAAAAAAATATTTTTTTAAACGGCAACCCACTATAAAATCATTTTTCTCATAAAAGCTATACTCTAAGGATTACAACTATTTGCTTTATATTTAATTTTTTTAACAAAATTTTTCCACATAAATTGCATTTTTGACAAAAAAAATCGCATAACTCAAAAACAAAACAAAATTTCGTTCTGAAAATACAATCACATTTTTTATATTACTTTAATTTATATTAATTATTATTTTCTGGAGGCAAATGATTAAAAATAAAACCGCTTGGTTCCATACTTTATATTCACCCTGTATATAAATTTCATAGATTTTATTAAAATTTCATTTTTAATTTATTTTACCTTCAAACACTAATCATGATGTTGTTTACTCTATTTCAAAAAATACAAATTTTTATTAATTTTCCTTTATAAAATACTCTGAACATTTTAGATAAAATTTGAGCCTGCACTGTGTATACTTTACTAAACTACAACTTTATCTAAACTACAGCAACAAAAAAAATAGTCTGTCATCCTGTGAATTTAATCAATATTTATTCTTTCATGTTTGGAGCAAACTTTAAAATTGTTTTACTTATCTTTTCATAAATTTAATACAAAAAAAGATTTAAATTACAATTTTTTTTTCTATCTTTTTTATTATAATAAGAATAATTTCGTTCAAAAATTGGCTTCTTAAACATTGTAAAAACATAAAAATTATCGAAAATACATAGCAAAATTGCGTTAATTCAATAACTTTTGATAAATAGTGATAATTGTTACATTGATGAAAAACTATAGTATAAGTATCATACATATTACCTACCTTATATATATATACCATTATCTTTTTCTAAACTGATGAAAACACTAAAATAGGCAAAATTTTATTTACAAGAAGCAAATCGAACACAGTATGCAGAAATAATATATTTTGAGTTTAAATTCGTAATTATTCATATTAACTCATGAGAAAAATAAATCAAATCATATAAAACAAAATTTAGTAATACCTATGTACTATTATTAATATGGTCTAACGTTGACAATTATTAAAATTATTAAATTTTTGCTTAAAAAAATTGCACAAAGTGAATGAATCAAGTCAAAATATTACATTTAAAGCTTCATTTTGCATGTTTGGTATTAATTAAACATCATTTCTCATTATGCAAGCCAAAATAACTTGAAACAATAAAACAAACCATGGAAAAACAATCAAATCCTGAATAACTTCAACTAAAATAAGATAAATTTTTCCTGAAAAACAAGCTACACTGAATCACTGATCGAAATAATCAAAATCAAAATAATTTTTAACAGACACTTGTTTATTTTGCCTTAAAATTGAGTCAAATCGTTTGAAAATAGCTCAAATTGTTAAAATTGGCAGGAAACTACAATTTCTTAGCACTTATTTCGTTGAAATACGTTGATTTACAACGATTTCTGAGTTAAAATTGTACCAAATTATTTTAAAATAACTCAAATCGCTTTATTTTGGCCAAAAACGACGATTTAAGAATCTTTTCGTAAAATAGGTAAATATCTTAAATTGCAACGGTTTTTAGTTTAAAATCGAGCAAAATCATTCAGAAATGGCGCAAATCGTGTTATTTCGGAGAAAACGACGATAATGGCATTTGTTAAGATCAAATACGTTGATTTACCACAATTTCTAACATAATACGAAGCCAAATTGCTCAAATTCAGTGGCGTACTGAGCTCTTAACAGGCCCGGGTTCCATCGTGGCTTCACGAGCCCCCACACCCACCATAACAGTGTTAAAATTAATAATTATTTTTATAATATTATTCAAAAAATATGTAAGAATAATAAGTTGTAAAATAATATAAAAAGACATAATAATAAAAAAGACCCCACATTAAAAGTATTGGAAGTTTTGATATGATATTTCTCCAAAAATTTGTATTTCCGGTCAATCGGAAGTGGGTTAATTTAATAGAAAGCTATGTTTTTTATTGCGTTTTTGGATTTTCCGAGTTATTTTATGAGAGTTGTCATCAATCTTCCCTATAGCATAGTCCAGCCATTTTTGGGATTTCTAGACTTTTAAAAAAATTTTGAATTTTCTTCAAAAATCTAACTCTGCAATTTTTAACTATTATCAAATCGTATTTTGGCATTTAACAGAGAAATGATCGATCTTTGGAGAGCTCAAATAGACATAAGTAACAATTTTTCTAGTCATCAGAACCTAATTTTAACATCTAATAATATAAAAAAATAATTTAGGTTTTTCTTAAATTTGTAATTTGCAATTGGACAACGGAAAAGATCCGTGCGGGCCCCTTTGAGGCCCGGGCCCCTGGAACTCACGGATCCCTGCTCAGTACGCCAGAGCTCAAATTGCTATATTTTGGCCAAAAACAACGAATTAAGTACGTGTGTTGATTTACAACGATTTCTGATTTAAAACCAACGCCAAATCGTCCTAAAAAATATCAACTCGCTTTAATTTATCCGAAAACGACAATTTAAGCTCTTATTGTTTCGTTAATATTGATTTACAACGATTTTTAGCTTAAAATCGAGCAATTTATAATTTACCTGGCAAAATCCACCAAAATAACACATTTGATGCTCCATTTTAACGAATTACTAAACAACAAACAACATTTTAGTTGTACGGGTCTTGAAAGTAAAAGGTTTTTACTTCTTTTTTTATAAAAAAAAATGGAATTCATCGTAGAATTTACCTAATTAGAACGAGAAACTTTTGTTTCTGTTTATTAATATTCATTATTTATGAATGGTTTCAGTGACTGAAACTTGGGAAAAAATCGTGACTTCGGGTGCCAAGCCGCAGCCCCGTTCCGAAAGCGTGGCCTTCTCCGTCTCCGATTTCTCCCTAACCGAACCCACCGTCACCGAAAAAGCGGTCCGTCTCCGTTCCCGGACTTGCATCTCCGCCGACCGCACCAACCGCCACTCCTCCTACCTCCCCAACAACCGAATCGCCCCCTACGAAAAAACCTACATTTTCCGGCCCTCTCACACCAATTACACCGACGGCAGCGACCCCACACAGACCATAGAGGAAAAAAAGAGCTTCTTACAGGAAATTTCCAAAATTTCCCAAATCTCTAAAATGAACAAATGCAGCTACACCGTGTTGACCGGCTGCACGACAGACAGCACCGAGAGCCTCCTCAAGCAGCATGCCAGTCCGCACTTTGACGAGAACGAAGCCATCTCTTCCAAAAACGCGATGGTCAAGTCGAAATCGGCGTATGTTATTAAGAAGAAAGTCCAAGTGGAGACCGAGACGATAACTCGAGAGCCGATTTCAGTACCGAATTTTTCGGTTTTGACACTGCCAACACCGGTGTTGACACCGGTTGAAGCGGCGAAGTTGGTCTATTTGGACACCGATGACGAAAATGAGATTTTAAACGAAAAGTGCGAGTTTGATAAGCCGGTTTTGGAGCCCCCGAAGAGGGGTGAGAGTTACAGCTCGCACCTAGGGTACGCCGACAATCCTCTCTACCAACACATGATGAAACTCAGCGAAAAAGAAAACATTTCCTCGACTTCCGACTACGCCAGTATTGAGACCATGAATCGACTCTCCTCTGCCAGTAATTACAGCGTTAAGACCAACACAGCTGTCGAGGAGCCCAGAAACTTGGACAAAGACGGCCCTTTTGGGTTTTGCAACCCGAATTATCTGGGACCAGACATCAAAGCGTTGCTAGATCCCAGCGAGAAGAAGCAAATCTCCAAATTATTGACCCATCCTGAAAGCAAGGATTCCGAAGAGAATCTTTTGGAGTTGCAAGAGTACAAGACCGCGAAGGTGTATTTCAGGGCTTCGACGCGAGTCCCATCCGATTCCCAGCGCACCAAAGAGGCGAAAAGAAGGGCCCATAGTGCCGGAAGGGCCGAGAGTCACAAAATCGATAAAAACGAGGCCGATTTCGACCGAATTATCGATTTTGTTCCATTGTATGTCTATGTGATTGGGGGGAAAGAGCATGGGCAAGTGACCATCTTTCGGAGGCCGATTTCGATGTGGAAATTGAATCTGTTTTAATTTTTTGCAATAGACGTGCCAAAATTAGGGTTCCAGAAATTAGATTTTCTACCTTTTCTAATAGTTTAGTTTAGATAGAATAAATAAAATTCGTCCAATACGTTGTGATCAAGTTTAATAAGAAGAGTCACTATTTTCGGACGAAAGCCTTGTAGATTTAGACAAAAGTGCAATATATTTTCAAATTTCGAATTGTATCTAGTTCATTTGACGCAATTGAGGGGCCTATTGGCATATTTTAGAAATTGAGGAATTAGATATAGACCTCTCGATTATGACTGAAAACGGAATTTAATTAGAGTGGGCCTTGATTTGGGTCTTAGGTGTTCAGTCATACCAACATAAAAGTCACGGCCAACTCGTAATGAAGTTACTTGTCATGTTACCAATACACCTACAAGCCAACTATAAGTACAACTAAAGACATAACTGTAGAATTAGAAATTTTGTCGTTTCATCTAATTACGTGTACGAAACGTTTTGTGTTGATTATATTTTTCTGTAGAAAATTTGTTGTTGAAGTTGTTCTTTGTATAGTCCAAAAATAATAAAAATTTGTAGTGAATGTTGCAATGAATTTCTTCTGTTTTTATGAAACAAATTTCAAACAGTGCAAGCCTTCAAATACAACAAATGAAAAACAAGTAAATAATAAAAAAGTAAGAAACAATTAATTATTTAGAGAAGAATTTTAAAAGTAAATGGTTTGGTCAAGAAAGTCTAAACAAATTTTCTAATTAAAAAAGTTAGAAGTATAGAAATATAAGAAGCAGAGAGCATTAATTTTTACTTTCTGTAAAAAAAACTCAAGATTTGTATCCAAAAATTACAAAATTTGGTCACAAAATAGCGATCGCAAAAAATAGTTGAAGTACTAAAAATGTTTAGAATTAAAAGTTCTAAGTATAAAAAAATCTAATAAAGTTAGATAAAAGTTAGAAAAAGAAATTTGTATTCAAACCATGTTTAGTTTAACAATTTACACAAATCCAAGAACACAGCAAAAAATGTTATTACTAATTAATTCCAAAAATCGTCACGCTTTGTATTATTGTCATTTCATCAAAAGGTTGATAACAAAATCGGTAATTAAATTTCATTATTTGTAATCTGATTCTAAATTCTAATTGAGGAAGTTTCTCCCGGAAAGATTGAATGAATAAATTTTTACTAAATTGCCATTTTATTGCTGAAGCTGGAAACATGTTCAAGATTTTAATTTTATTGACTTTCATATTCATATGTATTGAAGTAAAATAATTGTGTTTTTTTTTAAATGGACGATTTATAATGAAAATAATAATTTTCAGGGCGACTATGTACCCGATTCTCAACGCGCCGAATTAGTTTTTTACAATAAAACAATCGTGAAAGAAATGCACTTCAAATATGGCAAGTACAATCGCACTATTTCAGCAATGAACGTCTCTTACGTCCTTCTCCGCGATTTTACTGACGCTAAAATGATGGTAATTTGGAAAATCCTAGTTACATTAAAAAAATTAAATTCAACAGTTTACAATCAACGGTGACCAATTTTTTCACAATGAGTTTCGTTTCACTGGCCAAAAATTTGTGATAAATGCTTGTCAGCTCTGGAAATTGAATATGTTTCACTTGGTCGAGCAGTTTAAAAAAGCTGGTTGGGTGATGGATCTTTGCAATTTGAAAAAGGTAATTACGGAAGTTTTTTTCTGAAATGTATTTGTGTTTGTTTCAGGGACCGTATCGCATTACTAATTTCATTTTAGATTCAGATGCTTATCCGAAATATATGCCCAAAGGACTGTGGAGAATCAATATCAAGGTGAACCACGAAAATGTCGGGGATATTCTCTTTGTGCGATGGTATTTTGAATTAAATTAAATACCCAATAAAAAAATTACTATCTATCATGGAGAATAAAATTCATTATAATTCATCATTCTTATATCTAGTTCTAATGTTTGATTTGGGTCAAAGATGCAAAAAATTCAAATTTTTACAAATTTTTTTAATTTTAAAAATTAATACTCCTAAAACATAAATGTATTGGTCGGTAAAATGACTGACACTAGTGAAAAGTCGATCTGTATAATTTGTACTAAATCAGCAGTTAAAAAACGAGTGATTTGTTCCAATTGTAGACAGTATTATCATAATAGTTGTGATGATAAGCCGCATAAAAAAAATTATTGTGATAACCGTCACTTGGTTCCCGATAAATCTGAAGATAATGAAGACATCGTAGGAGAGGTTGAAAAACCAAATTCTTTGATAAACTCAATCGCTCAACGAAGCCAAACTTATTCACCAGGTTAATGAATTCGACAAATCTTATGCGTGAAAGTTGGAAAATAAGAAGTAGTGTCAAATCTTCAAAAAAGGCTGATGACGAGTTACTTGACAACAACGTATTGATAAAAGTTGTGTTTAATGAATTTTTTTCCGATACCTCCCAGTTTCAAATGGAAAATACAAATTCAGCTACCATCCAAAGCTCTGTACACACAAAGGAAAATTTTTCGTAACATCTACCACACCTGATGAGATCCATCATTAATAAAACTTGTGTAAAAAAGGCATGTGGTGTTGATGAAATACCGGGTAACTTAATAACAGGCGTTAAAAAGTTTATATGTTACCCAGTATCTTATTTAATCAATGAATCTTTCTCCACTGGTACATTTCCTGAATCATTAAAAACAACAAAGATCATACCAACCTACAAGAACAAAAGTTCGAAAAATGATGTTAAATGTTATAGATCAATAGCCGTTCAGAATCAATTTCACAAAATTTCTGAATCAGCATTTTCAAAACGTCTAACTAAATTTATAGAGTGTTCCAATTTGAGAACGTTCTACTATGACGGCAATAAATGAAGTAGTAAGATCAATATATTAATCTCTAAATAACAAAGAGCAACTTGTTGGCCTTTTCCATGATCTTTCGCGGGCTTTTGATTCAGTAAATCATAGCATACTTTTACAAAAACAGAATGATAATGGAGTACGTGGTATTCCTAATAATTGGATAAAAACATTTGTATGTAACCGAAAACAGGTAGTAACAATAAATAACCATATTTCTAGTCCTACCATTATAAACGTAGGTGTGCCTCAAGGGTTTATTTTAGGACCAATTCTTTTTATAATATTTATTAAAAGTTTACCTTCATCCGTAACAACATTATCATAAGAAAAAATTTTCATTTATGCCGACGATACTAATGCTTTAATCACCAATAAGAATTTTAAAAAAACTATCCAAAGTGCAAACAATATATCTGCAAATATAAATAACTGGTGCCTCACAAATTGTCTCAGACTCAAATAAAACATACATTTTTGCTAAATAATATATCGCTTAATTTTAGTCCACTTGTTAAGTTATGTCAAAAATCTGTTCAACATGTAGCAGAAATTAAATTTTTGGTTGTTAGATTCTAAACTCACATGGGAAAGCCATACAAATTTATTATGTGATAAATTAAGTGGAATTAGTTTCTTGGTTAGATCATTAAGAAGTTCAGTTTCAACAAAGGTATTAAAAATACAAAGTGGTTATAAATGATTTTCATCTAGCCAGCTGTGAATTTTCCATGTAAAATAAAAAATGCCGCTTTACGAAAATAGAGGTACCTACTTGTTTTAACTCTAGGCTAATTTTATGATTGCAGTATTATCATAGAAAAAGAGCTTTACTTTAGTAAATCATATTTTTAACGATAAAATAAGTAATAACCACAAAAATTTTTCCAAAACAAAACAAAAAGTTGACGATAACCGTTCCATTAAAACGCTTTGAAAACACTTAATATTAACAAAAAGAAATAGATAATTTAAATTCTTACAAAAAGTTTTATGTTTAGTGGTTGAAAGGTTGAGAGCCATAAAAATTTTTGCAAAAAATTGATTTTCTAACCTTTCTAGGGCTTAAACTATTATCTACGACTATTAAATAATAATGTTATTATAGACACATATCCATAGACACATAAATTAGTCCATATTACACTCTGTGAAAAATAAAATTATATTCCACAAGTGAATATAAATAAGTTATACAGAGTGGTTATAAATGATTTTCATCTAGCCAGCTGTGAATTTTCCATGTAAAATAAAAAATACCACTTTACGAAAATAGGGGTACCTACTTGTTGTAACTCAAAATTAAAAAATCGCCGTTTACTAAGCGTCCACTTCAAAATTAGATTTCAATTATAAACTTATTTTCTTCCAAAGTGTACATTATTATCAATTATTATTGGAAATTAGTTGAAACAATAAAAGTTTAATTAACAACAATTTATTATTAATTAATAAGTGACACTAATGACAAAACTAGAGCTTTCAAAAAAGTAGAGTAGCACAAATAAAGTTACATGCAAAAAAATCCAAAGCTGGGTAGATGAAAATCATTTATAACCACTCTGTATTATACTTTGCCCTAGTTCAGTCATTACTTGTATATAGATTTACATTTTGGGGGGGCAGTAATTTTTGACAGAATGTCTTTATTAGGTCTATTCCAGCACCCAAATGACGTCATTTGGGTGCTGGAATAAGTCGTTGGCGTTAATTTTAGTTTTCACAATTCATTTTCAAATTATTTATTATTTTTTAATTATTTTTTTAATTATTTTTAATTATTTTAATTATTTTTATTTTTTACAGCCGCCTGTAAAATTATTCCACATAAATGATGCCAACCATCGCAAAATTCTCAAGAAAAAAAAATTAAAATTTTCGTTTTGTAATTTATAAAATGATATAAAGCGGCAAAATAGAAAAAAATAGTATAAAGCACTTGTTGCAGAAGGTTCTTCAAGCACTCATTTGTTTCTCAACTCGCCGCTACGCGGCTCGTTTCGGAATTTCAAATTTGTGCTTGAATAGATACCTTCTGCAACTTGTACTTTTAATATACTATTTAGAAACAAGCAAATTAAACATTCGAATTTTGTATACAATTATTTTCGATGTTCAGAATTTTCGACAGCTTCAGAAGATTCATCAATTTTTTTTTATTTCGTAAATTGCGACAAAACTGTTTCTCAAACAATATTTCCATGCATACATATGTAAAATGTTCCGRGAAATCGATTGGCGCCGAGAAAATTGCGAAATTTTATTTTAATTAATATTTTGAATATTTTTGACTTTAACAGCAATTTTCTCGATAACTATTTAACGTAGAACAATTATATTTTTTTATATGATAAAAAATTATATTTGCTTTCCAACGGTACCACACAAAAAGGACTAACGTGACTAATTTATAAGTTATTAGCAATAAACAGTTCCGGATACCAAAAATCGCCCAAAATTTCAACAAAAGTAGAAAAATTAAAAACTTGAAAAATAAACTATTTCTCWCTCTTGAAGGTTAAGAGGCTTACAAAAGTTTACAAAAAAAACGTAAAAATGTAAAAAATGGGCGCATAAGAACGCAAACTTTAAAACATGTGCACATGTTCTAATACTACTAATAAGTATAATAAGAGAGAGAGCATAAGATCAAATAGAACGCAAAGCATAATAATAAAGAAACAGCGTAAGTACAAATAAGTGAACAAACTAACAAAGCTTACGTTTACTTATATGTAAGAGAGGAAAACGCAAATTAGTATAAGCAAGCAAAAGGTAAATTTAAAGAAAAGGTAAGTTTGGAATAAAAATGAAGAAATATATWTYTTTATTATCTAATTATTATTACTAAACTCTATTTATTCAGATTTAAAGTAAAGAGCAACACTATAATTASCAAGTAAATGAACAAAATAATCAAAACAAACAGTTTGCAATGAAATCAACAAACGTCATGCATCAGTGTCAAAAGTAGTTTTAAAATATTCGAAAATGTTTATTGATTTAATTAGTGGATGACTAGTGCAGTTAGTAGTGCAATGTCGAATGCTGATGATCTACAATGTACCTCTCCAGAAATTGCTGAAGCAGCGAAAGGGACAAGAAAGATACAACATTGGTAAATGTCATGGTCAAAGTAAAAACGCTTAAGCAAAAAAACAGAGTTTTTACTCCATACCTGAAAGGTAAACATTTTACTTGTGTCATTGTCATAAAMTGGTCACTTTTGTGATGTTTCCAGATAATTCTTTTTTTTAATTTCAAGGTGGTKTAACGCTTAGAGATATTCGTCAAAATCAAACATATTTAATTTATTTAGGTTTATTAAAATWAAAATAATAACTTACAGGTTGTATTCGACTATTTCTAACAAACGTGCTTGTACTTTTTTGATCATTTATTTCACATTTTTCTCTTAAATCTGCTTTTATAAACTCTTTCACTAAACAATACAAAATTAATCATCAACTCGCTCCAGGCTATTAGCAAACAACAATTATTCGACGAATTCGGTAATAATCATTTAAGGCCGGAAATTACAATTTTTAATATAAATATTTCAAAATGACCAAAATCCCAATCATTTAACAATGACACAATTGCAACTAAAAATCACCATTTGTGTATTAATTACACTTGCTATATTAAAACTAGTATTTTGTGGCGTAAGTAGAAACTAACTCAAAACATTCTCTAACACTTTTCCAGAATTATGAATTTTATTCAGAAAGAGCCGAACTTCTTTACACCAACAACAGTTTTCTCGTAAATCCTGTTTTTCACTTCGGAAAAGTAAACCGAACTTTCAGGGGCGTAAACGCATCTTTTGATGTCGTCAGAGATTTCACAAACCAAAAAATAATGGTAGCAAACACCCCGATTTGTAAAACAATAAACAGAATTATTTTAGGCCACTTTGAAAGCTTACCAATTTTATCACAACGAGTACCGCTTCACCGGAACTCAAATCACCGCAGATACTTGTAAAATCGAAAGAGCGAATATTTTTTCATT